AAAAAAAAAAAAAAAAAAACCAATCTGGAAACTGACAAAGCATTTTAATAGACATTTCTCAAAAAAATAAAAATTAAAAAATAGAAGGCAGACAAAAACAATAGTTAATATGAAGAAACTGAAACTACCATATATTGCTGGTGATACTATAAAATGGAACAGTTAATAAGAAAAAAATGCTTTAGACCAGGCATGGTGGCACATACCTGTAATCCTAGAGATTTAGGAGGCTGAGGGAGAAGAATCACAAATTTGAGGCCAGTCTCAGYAATTTAGCCAGGTCCTAAGAAACTTAGCAAGACCCTACCTACCTCAAAATAAAAAAAGATTGGGAATGTGACTCAAGGGTTAAGTACTCCTAGGTTCAATCCCCAGTACCAAAAAAAAAAAAAAGAAAAAAATGGTTTGGCAACTCATCAAATATGGAGTTATCATTCATGACCCAGCAATTCTACTCCTAGGTACTCAAAAAAACTGAAAGCATACATCCACACAAAACCTTATACATATGTTCAGAACAGCAATGTTCATAATAGCCAAAATGTTGAAACAAACCAAATGTCTCTCATATGAGCAATGAAATAAACAGAATATGGTATATCTGTCCAGGGAAGTATTATTTAGCAACAAAAAATGAATGAAGTATTCCTATGTCCTATAACAAGAATGAACTTTAAAAACTTGGCACTGAGGGGCTGGGGTTGTGGCTCAGTGGTAGCGTGCTCGCCTAGCACACATGGGACACTGGGTTCGATCCTCAGCACCACATAAAAATTAGGTAAAGATTGTGTGTCCACCTACAATTAAAAAATATTAAAAAAAAACTACTAAAAACATGGTGCTGAGCCAAGTGTGGTAGCACATGCCTATAATTCTAGTGGCTCAGAGGCTGAGGCAGAAGAATCTCAAGTTCAAAGTCAGCCTCAGCAACTGAGTGAGGCCCTACGCAACTTACTGAGACCCTGTCTCAAAATAAAAAGATGTGGCTTAGTGGTTAAGCGCCCTGGGTTTAATCCCCATTACCAAAAAAAAAAAAAAAAATGGTGATGGGCACATTGGCACATGCTTATAATCCCAGCAACTCTAGAGGCTGAGACAGGAAGATCGCAAACAAGGCCAGCCCCTGGGCAACTTAGCAAGATTCTGTCTCAAAACAAAAAATAAAAATAACTGAGGATGTAGTTCATTGATAGCATCTCTGGGTTCAATCCCCAGTACCTTTCCCCACCCCCCAAAAAAGCTACATATGATTATGATTTCATTTATATGAGGTGTCCAGAATGGAGAAATACATAGAAACTAATGGCTGGGTGTGGTAGCACATGCCTGTGATCATGGCAGCACACGTCTGTGATCCTAGTGGCTCAGGAGGCTAACATAGGAGTATCACAAGTTCAAAGCCAGCCTCAGCAACTTAGCAAGGCCCTAAGAAATTTAGCAAGACCCTGTCTCTAACATAAAAATATATAAAAGAGCTGGGGCTGGGGCTCAGTAGTTAAGCGCCTCCTGGGTTCAATCCCCGGTACCAAAAAATAAAATAAAAAATAAAAAAGCAAGCTAATGATTTTTAGTGGCTGGGGAGAAGAGACAATAAGGAATAATGGAATAATTGCTAATAGGTATAGGGTTTTTTTCAAAGGTAATGAAATGGGTTCTGAAATTTATAGTGGAGATAGTTGTTCAATTCTGTGATTATACTAAAACCCACTAGATTATATACTTTTTTATGAAGTGGGGGCTGGGGTTTGGCTCAGCGGTAAAGCGCTCAACTCGCATGTGCGAGACCCTGGGTTTGATCTTCAGCACTACAYAAAAATAACTAAGTGAAATAAAGGTATTGTGTCCAACTACAACTAAAAAATAAATATTTTAAAAAAAAAGAGTGCGGGCTGGGGATGTGGCTCAAGCGGTAGCGCGCTTGCCTGGCATGCGTGCGGCCCGGGTTCGATCCTCAGCACCACATACAAAGATGTTGTGCCAGACGAAAACTAAAAAAATAAATATTTAAAAATTCTCTCTCTCTCTTTAATACACACACACAAAAAAAAAAATAGCAGCATTCCCAAACCTACCTTAAAAAAATAAATAAATAAATAAATAAATTTTAAAAAGAGCGAACTGTAAGAAACACGAATCGAAAAGCTATCATGAGGGGCTGGGGTTGTGACTCTGGGGTATAATGCTTGCCTAGCATGTGGAGGCACTGGGTTCAATCCATAGCATCACATAAGAAAATAAATAAAGGGCTGGGGATGTGGCTCAGGCGGTAGCGCGCTCGCCTGGCATGCATGCGGCCCAGGTTCGATCCTCAGCCACCACATACCAACAAAGATGTTGTGTCCGCCGAGAACAAAAAAAATAAATATTAAAAATTCTCTCTCTCTCTCTCTCCTCTCTCTCTCTCTTTAAAAAAAAATAAAAATTAGAAAATAAATAAAATAAAGTTACAAAAAAGAAGAAGAAGCTGCTATCATTAAAAGAAGATAGTGCCAAAAAGTAGATAACAAAAAAAAATTCTGAGCCAGGCATGGTGGTACATGCCTATGATCCAAGCTACTTAGGAGCTCAAGCCCAGGAGTTCAAGAGAAGCCTAGGCAACATGGTGAGATACCATTTCAAAAAAAGGAAAAAAAAAAAAGAGAAAAAAAAACCCTGATAAGGGCTGGGGTTGTAGCTCAGTGGCAGACTGCTTGCTTAGCAGGTGCTAATACCCTAGTTTTGATCCCCAAAGTTTCAAAAAATAAAATAAAATAAAAATTACCCTTGTATATTCATTTGTTATATTTTTATTTAAATTTGTAATGTTCACACAAATACATGGTACAATAATAAATTGTTCAATCTTTATCCTGTAGAAAAAGGATTTTTAATTCAATTTTTTTTTTGGGGGGGGATACTAGGAATTGAACTCAGGGGCACTCTACCACTGAGCCACACCCCCAGCCCTATTTTGTATTTTATTTAGAGACAGGCCTCACTGAGTTGCTTAGAACCTTGCTTTTTGCTGAGGCTGGCTTTGAACTCACAATCCTCCTGTCTCAGCCTCCTGTGTCGCTGGGATATAGGCACGCACCACTGTGCCCGGCTGCCTTAATTCAAATTTAAAGTTAAATTTTTCCTTGATTCAGATAAACAAAATCTATTAAATAAAAATATCTGGGTTGAGGACATAGCTCAGTTGGTAGAGTGCTTGTCTCACATACACAAGGCCCTAGGTTCAATCCCCAGCACCACACACACACACAAAAAGTCCAAGGCCAAATTTAATCATATATAGCTATGAGAATCCAAATCTTCTAGTACAACTTTCTGCAGACGACACTCATGAACAACTGTTAGAAGCAGTCATTCATAGGCACATCGGCAGCTTATGTCTCACCTTCATGCAAAGCTCCGCCTTGTCAAAGCCCATCAGCATGTTGATAATATCAAACCCAGAGGTAGACTTATTCTTTTGATGGACTCCTCGAATAAGTGCACACAAGGTCTGCAGAAGTAAAAGAAAGAATTGTTTCTAGAGAGGAAGTCTCCAAACTAGAAGGGCGCTCACTACATCTGTAGCCTCACATTATAACCTCAGAACCACCTTCTTACATAGATAATTTCTCAGTTACTCTGAGCTCCAAAATACAGTCTGAATCTTAACATGTGCAAAATCCATAAATTAAAAGAGGAACAGCAACAAAGACTGTTGTCATCTTCCATTTTTTACCTCCTTCTTGTTTTAGGGCCATTCTCAATAATCAAAAAAGGGATAGGGATGCAGTCCAATGTTAAAGCACCCCTGGTTCAATCCCCAGTACAGAAAGAAAAAAAGAAAGAGGGAGGGAGGGAGAGAGAGAGAGAGAGAGAAAAGGAAAAGAAGAAAAAGAAGAGTCATCCCTGAAGTTTTGTATTAACTGTTATAATAATGTACTATACTTTTAGGGGATCATCAAGTAGCTTAAGATCAACTTATTTCTGCCCTCATAATGAGCCATTGTAATTACTGCACATATAATTCCAACTTTTATTTCACTTACATTGAGCCCCTACTGGACAACTCAAATGTTAAATACATTGTGCCAAAGGTCAAGGCTCTAGGATAAACATAGGCCTTCTTTCTGGGGCATCAATTCAAGAGGTAATTATTCTACCCATTCTACACAGATGAGAAAACTGGGGCTCACAAAAAGATTTTCAAAACTAGTAAATTAGAAATTTAAATCCTGTCTACCAAAAATTCCAACAAAATCCTTTATTATATTATAAATTCCTCAGCACCACATACCAACAAAGACTAAAAAAAAAAATATTAAAAAATTTAAAAATAAATGAATTATTTATAATCTAAGCTTGTCAATTACTGCCCTAAGTACATACTCCCAATCTAGGGTATACTGAATCCTACAGACTACAAACTTTAGAAACTTTGTCTTCCATTCATTCAGTAGAAATTTATTTCTATAATACCAACTATGTGCTGGACATTGTTATATGTACTAAAAACAAAGTATTGAATGAAAGTGTCAAAATCTCTGCCTTAAAGAAGCCAAGTGTGGGCAGAGGTTGTGATTCAATGGTAGAGAGCTTGCCTAGCTGTTAATTCTCAGCATCACATAAAAATAACTAAAATAAGGTATTGTGTCCATCTACAACCAAAAGTAAATAAATAAATGTTTTAAAAGAAAAAAAAAAAAAAAAAGGAGAAGCCAAGTGTATGGCCAGGCACAGTGGTGCATGCTTACAATCCCAGCAGCTAAGGCGGCTGAGACAGAAGGATCAAAGTTCAAACCCAGCCTCAGAAACTTACTGAGGCCCTAAGCAACTTAATGAAACCCTGTCTCAAAATAAAAAATAAATTGAAAAAGACTGGTGGGGCTGGGGTTGTGGCTCAGTGGTAGAGCGCTCACCTAGCACAGGTGAGACACTAGGTTTGATGCTCAGCACCACATAAAAATAAATAAATAAAAATAAAGGCATTGTGTCCACCTACAACTAAAAAAATTAAAACAAACCAAAAAAAAGGACTGGAGATGTGGCTCAGTTGTTTAAGTGCTCCTGGGTTCAATCCCTAGTACCAAAAAAAAGAAGCTAAGCATATCCCCCAGCACAACACTCTGTCCAATGTTTAACACACAGCAGTTGTTCAATGAGTAGCTGTTGAGATGAGTACAGGGTACATGCCTGCAATCTCAGCTAATTGGGAGGCTAAGACAAGAGTATTCCAAGTTTTAGGCCAGCCTTGGCAATTTAGCAAGATCCTGTCTCACATAAAAAATAAAAAGGGGAGGGCTGGGGATGTGGCTCAAGTGGTAGCGCGCTCGCCTGGCATGCGTGCGGCCCGGGTTCGATCCTCAGCACCACATACCAACAAAGATGTTGTGTCCGCTGTGAACTTAAAAATAAATATCAAAAA